AAGAACCTGGGGGAGCCAGATTTTTTTGTCTGATTTTGTTAAAGGTATCACCGCAGGATATAAGCTGCTGCTGCTGCTGCTGCTGCTGCTGCTGCTGCTGCTGCTGTTGTTATTATTATTATTATTATTATTCGATATAGAAGACCCACTCAAATGTATCCTGTGAATACAGCCAACACCAGCAAATTCTGGGGGTTTTCTGAACCTTTTGCTTTTCCTTGGTCTACGGAAGGAATAGGAATGAGAGAAGGGAGTTCGCTACCAAAATCGATTTCTCCGTCCAATTCAGGAACCTGAACTGGATGAGCATATGAAGATGGCATTTGCGGAAAACAACAAGAGCAGGATGTTTGTTACCGAACTGAAAAGGAAAAGGAAAACGGCAGATCAGCCTCCAGGAATTGATTTATCCTGATCCATTTGTCCTGAACAATGTGCCGTTCTCTCAAGATAGATAAAAGCTGCTTGCGCGCGCGTATCTCTCCCCATAATTCTTGGACATGATTTTACCGGGGGAAGCACTGAATGGCATATATAATGTACAACTGTAATCTTTTAAGAACAAGATATATCATTCCCGCCCTCCTGTTTAGAAGGCACCCTCCCCCCTGACAAAGAGCCCATTTCTGGAAGAGCAATAGCAACTGCAGTATTTCTAATCACAACAGCGGCAACCTGGGGAAACTTGCATTGTGATGTCACAATGCAAACTCAGCCCCTTCTGGGTCCTGACATCACGCGCAAGTCCAGTAGGGGCGGACCTTCCATTGTGACATCACAATGTACATTCATGGCTCTCCTCCCTCTGCCCCCCTCACATGGATGCCTATGGCTCCTCTGGGACAATGTGGAGGCTCTGTTTGCAAGCGCACCTGAATTTGGAAGGAGGCCCCCAAGATGCAGAAGCAACGTGGGGTGGGTGGGGAAGGCCCCCTTTTGAACCGAAGGCATGAATGCCTGCAGAAAGAAAGCACGGTTTAATCAGTTAATGAGGGTCATGGGGGCTATGCAAGGGGGCTTAATTTATAGAGATTTTCCTATAGAAAATTACCATAAAACTGCAACGAACAGAAAACAAGATCTGAAATATTGAGAGGCCTCTTCCAGCGATGAGGTCCTAAGCTAGAGTTTGTTTAACTGATCTCTAAATATGGCTCAGGCTTTGCAGGGCAAAAACTGCACCTCCAGTTCTTGGCATCATTTGCTCCTTTCCCCAATCTATTCTCACTACCCTCTCACCCAGGGGTGACTACAGGGTAGGAGGTCAAAAATGTCAAGATGGCAGCCGCCCGACCATGGGATTGAAGCCCTGCCCCTTTTTCCATGTGCCATGTGTCGAAGTACTTCTTAAAAAAGGGAAATAAATACACCTATCTATTCTGTTCGTTTAATCTCTCTCTCTCTCTCTCTCTCTCTCTCTCTCTCTCTCTATCTATCTACCTATCCATCCATCCATCCATCCATCCATCCATCCATCCATCCATCCATCCATCCA